GCATCCAATACAGTGTATTGAAGATCGATACCTGATAAAACTGCAAATAAAATACTACAGGGTGTGCACAAGCGCCACCAAGAGGCTTTTCTCTCATATTCCAGGCATGGTTTTTCCCTCTGCACAGTGGCACTCGAGCATATGCTCAACATCCTGCAAACCAGTGATCAGTCACACTAGGAGTTCGCTGCTGTTTTTAGCAAACATTTGAAGTGAAAAACAAAACAGGATAAGGAGTGTTTTAGGGTGTTCGTTTCAGGACAGATTAAAAAAAAAAAATGAAATGTTCTACAGCATTTAGAGTTTATAACAAGTGAGCTTTTAAATGTTGTAGTAACAGAAAACAAGACTACTACCCAGTCCTAGATCTGGAAAATGTTAAATTCCATCTTACCAGCCACCAAAAGAGAGGCAGACTTGAACTGTTGCTACGCTGTTTCCTGTCAAAATCTGGAAGAGTCTTTTTCTTTTCTTTTCTTTTTTTCTTTTTTTCCCCTCCTCCCTAACAATTGCAAGAGAACAGGGTTCAGCCTACAGAARTCATGAAAATTTGCAGGTTTTACCTGGAGCCCCACAGCAGTAAAGGATGCCAGTGGGTAACGGTGGCAGGGCAGGTGCAAACTTGCTAACCAAGTGGTCTCGAGGCAGCGGAACTGGAATTTGAAAAATTACATTACAGGCAAAATAACAAATTCATATTACTTTTACTACCTACTTTGATGTGAGCTTTATCTACTGAGGCACGTGCCAATATATTTTTCCCCCTCGTTATCAGTTTTCAGGTCTGGCCAGGGGAAAAAAAATAAAAATGTGGAGAAACTCTGCTTTCATGCAAAGGTCAGAGAGAGGCAGCYGCATGGTTTTGCTGCAGATAGTGCAGACCATGCACCCTCCAGTGATCCTTAGACTGCTGTGTTATCTCTTAACTCACCACGAGGACCAAGGGCTCCATCCATTTTCCCTACAGCCCATTCATTTTCAGTACAAAAAAAAAAAAAAAAGCAGCAAGGATTTTTTTTTTTTCCACTAAAATCTTGGGGGAAAAGGCAGTGGGGGAGAGGGGGGGAAGGTCCTTGTGCCGTGCAGTCTTTGAACTCGCTCTCCATGACTCCTACCCTCCTTTCAAGAAGATGGGAATGGGAAAACACTGGCTGTCCCGAGGGATCTTTGGGGACCACAGCCCCTCTTCAGTTTGGGGCTCCTGTGGTTGRGGCTTTTTCCTCTCTTCTCCATCCCAAGATTTAAGGCGATTTAAGCACTTTACCTCCTTAAGGATTAAAGGCATTTTAACAGCTTGTATTCCTTTAAGCAGCTAAGGTGACTTAAATGCTTAACGCTACATTCAGGCTTTAACACAGCTTAGCCGCATAGGAGGCTTGATGAATTTACACCTGCTTAAGAGCTTATCTGCTGCCTTTGACAAACAATAACAGGGCAGCTTAAACTATTAGGACATTTAGGGGGCCCTCGGCACTACCGGGGATGGGATGGGGGTCTGCCGGACCCCCTAGTGCCCTTACCTGGTGCCAGGAGCCCCAGGGCAGGGGGGACRGAGCCCCCCGAGCCGTGGGGTCGGCGCTTCCCAGCGTGGGATGCTCCAGGTGACGGCAACCAGCTGGGAGCAGCAGGAGCTCCCTTAAAGGCTCTCGGCATCCGGGACCCACTGGTGGTGTGGGGATCAGCCCTGGGCTGTAACAGCTCGTTAGTTACATTCCCAATTAAGTGCGAAGCGGTGGCCTGAGCACGGGGCACCTTGGGCCAGGCGCCGGAACCGGCCCCATGGGAGCCCCCCGGCTTGGCCGCGTGTGTCCTGGCCCTGGAGCGCGCGTCCTGGCAGCCGGGAATGTGAGCGCACGCAGGACAGGCAGAAACACAACGGCCCTTAGGTGTCGGAGCAGGGTCCCCCAGGGCACCCAGTGCAGAGAGCCCCACCAGTGCCCCCACATTCGCCCTGTCCTTCCTCCCTGAGCACGCTCACGCAGGTGCCCGAGGCTGCTCTTGCCCTAGCACCTTCACAGACCTCGGACCCTCAGCACGAAAACCGTCCGTGCCCCGAATTCCTCAGGCCCCGCGGCCGCAGCAGCCAGCAGGGGCCACGCGGGCCGCATGGGCAGCGCTGGAGCTGGCGTGGGCTGCGCTGGGGCCGGCGTGGGCAGCACTGGGGCCACGTGGGCAGCACTGGGGGCCGCGTGGGCAGCACTGGGGCCGACCCTGCGGCAGCCGGCACTGGCCTCGCACCCAGCACGTCCCTCTGCGATGGACCGCAGCGATGACGGCCTGGGCCTGCAGGCCTGCGCTCGCTGTGTTTACGTGGTCTCGGATCGCTTTGAATTTATAGTAAATGAGTTTGCCAAGGGTGATTAAAAATGGAAATAGTAAGGTCTTGTAAAGCCTCGTTTCAAAACTAAGTGTAATCCAGGAAAAACAGCGTGTTTTCCCTCCTTATGTCTTGTGGTCTGGAAACAAACAAGCAACCAAACATTCCTGGTGAACAAACGAGCAGATTTCTGCTGGAAAGGTCTCAGCCTTAGAAAACRATTGTTATCTCCAAGCTATACACAGCCTGCTCAGATCTGGAGTCCTCGCCTCCACAGTGCAGATGGTTAGGTCTGCTGAAGGTGGTGCACAAGGCTACCAGGAATTTACGGAGCAGGCAGCTCATCTTCTGATCTGCACCCACTGAAAGGGCATCAGTGACTACATAAAGTGACAAGCAGTGACAAAAGGAGGCAGAAAGAAAGACCTGTTTTATGAAGAGCTTCTGAGTATGCTCATTTGGGGTAAGAAGACACATGCTTCTTCCTGTGAGGAGGTGTTTTGGGTGGCCTCCAGTGGGACAAGCACTGGGAGCTGAAGTGACATCTCCTGCAAATGGCAAAAAATGCAGCCCGTGGCACTCCTGAGGACTTGTCAAAACAACTTCAACACAGGTGGCGTAAGTAATCCATGGGGCTAAGTGCCATGGAAGTGAACTGAGGCCAACAGCTTACAGATTTATCTTTGAAAGGAAAGAACTGAATACATATTAATAAATGGCAAGAATATTGGAGCTATAAGAATATGACCACCTTTAAGTGTTTACACATGGGATATTAAATATTCATGACATTTATTTTTCCAGCTACACAACAAGTTTAAATAAAAGAGATGAAGCTAGTCTACAAKAAATTACATCCAAGAATATGGTCCACCAGAAAGGATTCCAAACCTTCCTCTGAAATAGGTAGCACTAGCTAACAACAACCAGGAGAAGTGCTGGGCTTGTTCCAGCGAGGCGGTCCCTTTTCCTCTATGGGGAGAAGCTGCAAGTTTCCTATGCCACAAGGCAGTGAYCTAAACTCTGGGGATGCCAGGCAGAGAAATGAACCTGTGTGGAGTAGAAGATAGGGCAGATGTCAGACATCTCTATAAGAAGACATTCAGTAGCTGATTAATGAATGTGGTCTACCACAAAAAGAAACTACATAAGTCTGCATAATGTCATAAGTAATATTACTAAAATGCCAGAAATTTCCACGCTACACTGACACTGTGTTCTGATCCCAAAGCCTTGTCTATTCTTCCCTTCGTTATGAATCAACACAAATGCTAATTCCTCAGGGAAATTTCCAAATGAAGACAAAAATGAAGGGAAAGGGAGGCACCTACACTGTGTAGAACTTTTAAACTTGGAAACAACAAAAAAAGTTGCATTTTGGACACACTGATGCTCACAGCCAGACACACAGGCAAAACCCTCTTTTGCAGTCAGGTGCTAGTTGGGGTTCAACAGTCCCTTTTTGCCACAGCTTGCTGCTCCTTGCAGAACAGAGCCACAGGTTGAAAAGTCCTTCTAACATCTAAAGCGGCTCAGGTTGCTCACAGGTTTTGGGGAGGGACTGCTCTACGGGCGCATGTATCCTTGCACAGCAGCTGCGCAACGCCGCAGTGGGGCGAGGGGATGAGCCTGGAGGCGGCCTCCTTGCACATGGTGTGCCTGGTGCCAGAGCCCTCAGCCTGGCCAAGGCGGGAGAAGACTTGCAGGTTTCCTCTCTCTCTGCCACCCTACAGCTTTACAGGCACCCCCACTGCAGTAGAGGGGCAGGAGCATCCGCTGTAACCGAGCCTGCAAGGGACGGTGCTCAGGGGGTGCTGCCCCACTSCTCAGCTCCCTGCAAGCCAGCTGCCCAGCCAGGAGCGCAGGGAGCCCCACGGGCTTGGCTGAGGCTGCAGAAGGGTCTCAGAGCATATTGCACACCTTTCCTGGGCTTGCCTGATGGAAGTGCCTGTGGGCGTTCCAGCTCATCTGAAATTTGGTCCTTTGCCCCAAAACAAAGGTGACAGCTGACACAAATGGATGTGATTTGCAGTGACTACACAGCACATCCGTGAGGTTTTGTGGGCTGGCAGGGGCTCTACACGGYACCCCAGCACTTAACACCAGACGGGAGGGTAACTTTGCAAAGGGCCCTTCTTGGGGGCACCAGCGCCTCTCCGAGCAGGCACTTCACACTGCAAGGAGCCACCTGGAAGGTCCGGCGCTGCTGAGCCAGGCGGGGACCGACGGAGCGGGCAGCKGGGGAGCGGGCAGCCCGCTGCCCTGCGCGGGGCTCTGGCCGCGGGATGAGCCCCGAGGGGCCGCTCTGCCCCACAGGGCAACGCGGAGCGGGGCGGAACGGTGGAGGGGAGGGCGCCGTCCCTCCGCACCAGCGTTACGAGCCGCCACGCTCCCCTGGGGCTGCGGGCGCGCGCCCTGCCCGGCGCGGCGCGGCGGCTCCGCGGGCGCGCGCGCCCCTTTGTTCGCGGGCTCCGCCGCCGCGCCCGCGCCGGTGCCGTTCCCGTTCCCGGTGGGATTTCCTGCCCGAGGCCAGCCCCCCCAGCGCCCGCGGCGCCGGGCAGCGCGGCCAATCCTCTCGGGCCGCGGGCCGAGGCTCCTCCCCGCGCCCCTGCCGTTTGCACGCACAAAACGCGCGGCGCCCGCGCTCGCGGCCGCACAGAGGCTCCGCGGTGCGCGCAGCAGCCGCAGCTCGGCCCGCGGGCAGCCGCGGCAGCAGCGCCGAGATGCAGGCGGTGCCGCTGGTGCTGCTGCTGCTGGCCGCGCAGTGCTGCGCCTCCGCCGCGGGGCTCTTCCCCTTCGGCGAGCCCGACTTCTCCTACAAGCGCTCCAACTGCAAGCCCATCCCCGCGCCCATGCTGCTCTGCCGCGGCATCGAGTACCAGAGCATGCGGCTGCCCAACCTGCTGGGCCACGAGACGGTGCAGGAGGTGCTGGAGCAGGCGTCCACCTGGATCCCGCTCGTGCAGAAGCAGTGCCACCCCGACACCAGGAAGTTCCTCTGCTCCCTCTTCGCCCCTGTCTGCATTGACGACCTCGACGAGATCATCCAGCCGTGCCACTCGCTCTGCGAGGAGGTGAAGGAGAGCTGCGCGCCRGTCATGTCCGCCTTCGGCTTCCCCTGGCCCGACATGCTGGACTGCAGCCGCTTCCCCAAGGACAACGACCTCTGCATCCCCCTGGCCAGCAGCGACCACATCCTGCCGGTCACCAGGGAAGGTAAGAGGGAGACCCCCCCCACCCCTTCCCTTCCCGTGCCACCCCGACACTGTGGTGGGGGGTGTCCATCCTGTCCAGCGTTGGGCTCAGGGCGCCGGGACCAGCCCAGGGTCTCAGCCCGGGTGAGGACAACGGTAACACAGACCCCCTCTTTATACCAAGATCATTGGGCTGTTTCTGGYCTCCTTTCATCACTTATCTTTCCCTTTTATTATTATCGTTTAAAAAAAAATAGTTTGGGTTCAAGCACATCCTGCGTTACCGTCAAAGCCCTTATCCCCCCGCCCCGGCTCCCGAGCAAGGTAAGGCAGTCAGGGGCAGCGCCTTGCACGGTCCTCCGAGGGACAGGATGGAAACGCGCGTCCCCCACCGGGTCCCCAAYGCCACCTGCTGATCCCGTCTCCCTGAGCCTCACGAGGGCCGTGTCTTGCCTTTCCAGCACCCAAGGTCTGCGATGCCTGCAAAAACAAAAAYGAAGATGACAATGACATTGTGGAAAACCTCTGCAAGAATGACTTTGGTAAGTGCAAGCACAGACCCTCGATTAAAGCTCAACGGCTGAGGGTCTTCCTTCTCCCACCATGGCTTGTGTAACTCCTTGTGGAGTCCGTGGGAGATGTGCCTAGAAAAAGGCAGGGCTTTGTCCAAGCTGCAGACTGACCCATCCATCCTAGCAGTCGTGAAATGCAACATCCCCGCTCAGAGTAAAAAGTGGTCCTTTTAGAGCCTCTTTCTGCTTGCTGCCTTTCTGCGAGTAAGTTTTCTGCTTTTCTGAAGTTGTACTCATTTATGTGGATGGTGCCGGCAAGTCCAAGTAGAAAGTAAGATGAAAAAGAGGCATCTCATCCAGAGTATTGCCTGGGGAGCAGCGCAGCAAAGCTTCATTTAGATGTCTGAGAAAAAGCTGCATGACTGATTTCGTGTGCAGCAAGAAAGAAAGACTTTCTCTGCAGATTAGGAGTGAAGCTCTATATATCACTTGACAGAGAASGTAATGCACAGACAATTGGGGATATAAACATAATGCGAAGCTCTAGGGTTAGAGCAGGACAAGAAAGCCATTGGACACAGACAACTGAGCAGCACATTATCCACACATTAGCATTTCAAGAGAAAACGGGACTAAGGAGGGGAATCCTATTCTAAGAGGTCAATGTTTATACCTGCAGACAGATTTGTAGTGTAAATAGCTATAATAATTCAAAAGCTTTTCTTACCAAAGGGGGAAAAAAAAATGAAACCATGACTATGGGACATAACTGCTAAAACACCCAATAGCTTTGGCCTGGCAAATTACACTCGGATAAATCCTCCTAAAGCTAAACATGCCCCTTAGATTCTTAAAGAGCACTGTATCCCCCTCCAAGTTATTTTCCCAAATCGAATGCAGCTGTTGGACCAATTTGCTCTCCATGGGATCTATTCTTTCAAAAAAACAATACATGTGAAATATCATTTCCTTACAGGTTTGCCTAAAATCCTGTCCAGCCCAATAAATTAAGTTTAAAAGTTTTCAGCCACAGCAGAGATCAGGTTTCAGATTAGGTTTAGGTACTTGCCTTCTCAACAACCCCTTCAAATTCTAGAGTTTCAGGAAGACTCTGTTATTCCAGGAAAAAAAAAAAAAAAGAAAAGTGGCTGCTTAATGCAGCAAACCTGCCCCCTCTCTGTTTGCAAACAGGAGAGAAGAAAAAACGGAGAAAATATTAAGTTAGAAAGGAGGGAAAAAGGAGAGGGGGAGGGGAGCAGAGAAAAGAAGTCCAAAACCCCTCAACCCTGGGGTTGATTCAAACCGAAATGACTTGCATGCCCTTTGTGGCTTTAGAAATGGAGCCACCTGCTGCCTCTTCTGTCAGCCCTGACAGTTTAATTAGCAATAGAGCACCTCCCTCCCCAGGTCCTCTTTATGTGCACTAATGGGAAAAAACCTCTCCGGCTCTCTCCCCGTCCTGCTTCCCCCTCCCCTCGCTCTATTAGCCCTGAAGATAAAAGTGAAGGAGATTGCCTACATCAATGGGGATACCAAGATCACCCCCGAAACAAAGAGCAAAACCATCTACAAGCTGAACGGGCTGACCGAAAGGGATCTGAGGAAGATTGTGCTCTGGCTCAAAGGCGGCCTGCAGTGTACCTGCGACGAGATGAACGACATCAACGTGCCCTACCTGGTGATGGGGCAGAAGCAGGCCGGGGAGCTGGTGATCACCTCGCTGAAGCGGTGGCAGAAAGGGCAGCGGGCTTTCAAGCGCTTCTCGCGCAGCATCCGCAAACTGCAGTGCTAGCCGCCTCYGCTCCTGCCACATCCAGCAGCCGCCTCCATCCCGAGCTCCCGGTCCGTTCCCCYGTGCCCTCTTGTGCCGTCCCCTCCGAGCCTCAAGGTGCAGTGGGCGTCAGAGCCAGGGACTGTTCCCTGAGAGAGGAGGGAGGCCTCTATTTTTGTACATAGGTTAAAGTGTAATAAAAAAAATCATGACTATTTTTGGGATTAAAGTATCTTGCCTAAGTTTTTTTTTTTTTCCTCTCTTTTTGAGTGCAAGTGTGACTTTGACCTGAAGCTTTTCCCTCTTTGTTTTGGTAATGCTGGTCAGTTTATATTGCTATTTCTCTGTATACATGCATGTTTGTTGTGCAAAAAGTAGGAGTGCAAAGACAGTCATGTGTGACTGGCCTGTCACACTGGATATGACTTTTTCATTAATATGGAAGGGCTTGCCATCTATATTAACACTATAAAGATCATGTTACAACTCTTGCATGTGATACATAGGCACCAATAAGAGCATATTAACCATTCTCACGCTTTTTTTTCCTCCACGTGTCTGAAGTTTCCACTTCCCTGTCAGAGAAATGAACAAGTTTTGGAGTTGATCTGAATGCAACTTTCATTTTTTAATTTTGCTAATTAAGCCATCTGTAGCCTACTTGTAATATACCTATTGGTTAACCTKAAAGAGTTGTAAAATATTGCTTTAATTAACCTTGTAAATATTCCAGATAAATGTTATATTCTTGTATATAAACTTTACATCATAGTTTACCCATTGTCTTGGTCTGTTTTGAGGGGCGTGGGATTCCTTTAGTATGTTGTAGCAGAACTGGAAGAGCATCATCCAACTGGCTTGTGTCATGGTAAAGCAAAAATTGTCCTTGGGCTCCCCAAATGGCCAACAAAGAAACATGTGAAGGTTCAGTCAGAAAAGCATTAGTGGGCTTTATTTCCCCCAAATCAATAGGCAAGCTCAAAGAGCTGATAAGAAGCACAACGCTGAGTTTCTGTCAACTTATTTTAACTCGTTTTCAGTTGCCCTCTTCCAGAGGAACAGTTTTCTGTCTTCACTTTGCCCAAAAATCAATAGGCAACCTCAAAGATCTGCTCAAGAGACAAGACTGAGGTTGAGTCAACTCATTTGAACACATTTTCAGTTGCCTTCTTCCAGAAGAACAGTTTTCTGTTGTTCCTTTGTTTGAATGTCTGCAGCTTCATCTTACCCTTTCAGAAAACTTGGCTCTCAGCTGATACAGAATTGCAATGACTATTTGTTTAAAAATCAGAACTATTTATACATTTATTACAATTTTAAAAGATATATTAATGAGTGCAAGAGACAAAAGTCTAATGTGCAACTGTCCAACTCAATTATTTAAATGGTATAACAATAATAATAATAATAATTATAATGATATAAGATGTTGTGTGTGTCCCCTCATTATTCTTACTCAGAAGGAAAAGATAATTTGCACTACTTAACAACGTAACTAAAGGAATGTTTTCTGAGGAAGGGTTTAGCCAGCTAGAGTTTTAATGTGCATATCTTGCAAATACACAATGGTAGTCTTGCTTCTAGTGCTGCCACACATAAAATTTTCTCTTACCTTCACCAAGAGGATGAGAAGCCCCACGTTTTCAAGAATAAAGTTTCATGTTGACTGCTTCCAGAAGAAAATGCAAACCCAGCACTTTTTCCATATTTAAATGATTTTTTCATAGTTCACAATCTGAAATGTTAATTTTCCCTATCAGAATAAAAAGTGAAGTTTTAAGATTCACCATATTAAAATTGTTTTTGAAGAAAGAATCATTGTCCCTCTCTCCAAATCTTAGTGTACCTGTTAGTCAGATAGGACTGTTGTGAAAAAGCAGCTTAAGATCAGGCTGCATCAGTGCCCTTAGAACTATAGAGTAAAATTTAAAAACAATCCTTCTCAAAATTTATTATATTGTATTTAAAGGCCAATACATTGCTGGACGACATTAAAACTTGTCTTCTGAGTGGACCTAGCTTCCCTGGAAACCAGTTTGAGACTTTTCTTGCCACGGCATAATTACTTGAATACCAGCAGCGTGTCCATCATGTTCGTGAGCATCCAGACATTGCARAGCTCTACCCATCTCGCTCAGCTTATAGGATAGCACCCGACACCGGACAGGCCTTGGGCTGAGAGGGGACATGCTCAGAGATAAGAGGCAGGTGGTTGAAGATGAGCTACAGCAATGAGATTGTGCCGAGTGCTGGAGGAAAGAGCTTCGAAGAGCCGGCAGTTGCACTGCAGCCTCCAGCACACTGCCAGCCTGGACGTGTGTTTTGCAGGTCCTCTTACAGCAACAAGAAAACTGTCTTAATTTGGCCGTCCTTGGAGGCAGCAGTACTGACACTGATGAGACAGGTCACAAGTTAACTGCTCTGGGGTTTTATACTAAGGCCAAAACATAACAGGTTTTTTTTTTTTTCGCTAAATCAGATTTACAATCTATGACCAATATCACTCTGTTGCAAAATACATTCCTCTTCCTCCATCACAAAATAAACCCTGTTACACGCTCCTGTGAGGACAACTGTGAAGGAGCCTGGCAAACATTCAGTTTTACTGGTACAATCAATGTGCAGGGTTAGGAGCATTCTGCCGGTATCACACCCCGTTACTGATAAAGCCTTCTATGTGCAGCCCTGTGCCGAGTCACTGCAGCTCTTCACCCTGCGGGGGAACCGGCAATCTCAAATCAGCTGTTCGGATAAACAGGATTTAGACAAATGTGGATAGTAATAGAAATCACTTTCTCCCAATTTAGTTACACAACACAGTATTCTAATGGCATCACACTAAAAGAAGGGCAATATTCACCATACCACAGAGGGAGAGTCAGTGTTTCTGATGCACACTGTTTCCAAACATACGTAAAGCAAGACATGRCAAACTATTCAACCACAGATGATTATTTTAAAGTCAGCTTTTGGAAACTTGATCTCTCAGGCACTGGTAAAGATGTAATTATACAAAAAAAAAAAAAATCACATTTTCACTCTTCATCCGATTCGCTCAACGATAACTAAGAGCTTTTGAAAGTAACACAGGAAGAGAACCACATGTGCAACAAGAACTCATGCAGATCTGTTGCCACTGATCAATGCCTCTCAATTATTTCAGAATAACTGTATTACCTGCTATGCTGTGGTGAAGCATGTTTCTAGCAGAAAACTTTTTGCAATTGATGAAAAATAGCAACCCACTGTTGCATTTTTCAGACACTTTTTTTGACTTATTGTAATTGAAAAAACATTGTTAGGCAGCCAGTTATGTAGCTCCCATTGTATTTGTTTTTATAAAAACTATAAAAGCAGTTGACTACAATGAATTAGTTTAAGAACAATAATAATGATACTTGACATTTATACAGAAGTTTCCATTTAAGTTTCTCAGACTGCCTTCACAAAATAAGCATTAATATCCCTGTTTCACAGATCAAGAAAATAAGGCACAGTGAGGTGAAGTCACTCGCTCAGAACCACCCAGCAAGTCCATTACAGGCCTAAGGAGAAGCATATTTTTGACTCCAAGTTTTACACTCTAATCACTAGACCACAGCAATCTGGATGATTTAGCTCAATATATAATCAAGGCATAATAGTAACCAAAACCTCCCTTCAACATTTCTTTCCTCCTTCTCAAATGTGTGAAAAAAAATGACAATCCAAATCCAAATTTAAAACCGTTGGCAATATTCCTTGCAGTCTTTTCCTTTCTCTCTTATTTATCATTTTCTCTGTCCTTACTTGTTTCTTAATCCTATTCCTTTCTCCCTCAGTTTGAATTCAGTTCAGACACCCACAGAGAAGCCACTCAGCCTTTCTCACCCTTTTTCATACACCCAGTATGTTTTATTAAAGAACTCACGAAGCAAAAGTGCACCRAAGCCACACAAATCTTAATGACAAAACCCAACTAGGAAATGCAGCAAGATTTAAAGAACAGCAAGATAAAGCACAGCCAGTTGTCCTGCACATCTCTCTGCTTGTTGTTACACCCTAGAAGCCTGACCTGGGCCACAGTGTCAATGCTCCCTGCTAGACACTTGCAGACACATCATACATCTCTTCAGTCATTGAGGGGAGAGACTTCAGGGGGGCTGCCTTGGCACCAGAATGGACCATCTCATCATCCCTGGGCAGCAGGGCAAGGATCTGATCATCTCCTTGCAGCTGGCAAGGCAGCCCCTTCCCTGCTGGATCYGCTGCCTTCTGCCACTCTTGCCAGACCAACCAGCTGCACAAGTGCCCATGGTGCACGCACGGTCACCAGTGCTAGAGACAAGGTGATGGATTGATTGCTACCCCAAGAGGAGGCGGCCTCCCTTAGGTTGCCAAGGCTTTTRTTATTGGAGCCAGAAGTTCTTACTTCTAGGCTTCAGAGATATGCCTGTATGATTTATCTAGGAGTCGCCTTCTTATCAGCAGATGTAGATCCAGTACAGCCTGACCGTCTCATGGAACAACTGCAGGAATGGATCTTGTTTGCCTCTGCATGAAGAGAAGAGTGCAATATGCGAACATCACAGGAATCCAAGACCCCAGGCTGTCTTGCACGCATAAATTAGCTCATGCTATATCCCTTCGGGGCGAGTTTAATAGGGTAACATTTTCCAAATGCATCAAATCCACTTTAAGGTGAGCTGTGGGCTCCTAAATCACCTGGATGCTTTGGAAAACATTAGCCGCTCTCCCCYGCTTTGGAGGCACAGAGCTAAGCCAGCTGGCCGAGCTTGGCCGGCCAGGCTGCCACCCGGCCAGAAGGAACACCTCAGCCATCAGCCGGGCAGCCCAGCGCTCCCGCGGCCCCAAGACTCACCAACACACTGAGCTGGAGAGCACAGCAGCTGAGGTAGCAAACCTCCAAAGTCACTACTGTGCACACAGAAAAGCTGCCCCGCAAGGAAGCGGGCTGCAAGACCTACTGGTCTTCCAAAGTAGACACAAAAAAGAGCATATATGCCATTTAAAGCCCATAATATGCAATAGTATTAATGGAACTCCTTAAAAACCCCGAAGTTTCAAATCATCATTTTAGAAGATTTTTCCATTTATAAAGGTGTTGCTAAAACCACGACGGATTTTCTGTTTGGATACAAGTTGCCATTAGTCACAGCCTGCTAAAGCACAGCCAACAAACTAAGGAACGGCCTGAAGAGGTAGCAGTAAWGCTAATTTAAGCACAACATTTCCATTTTTTCCTGGTATTTACATTCAGAGCTTAACTCTGTTTAATGTCATCATTAAACATTAAATTTTCCATATGGAGCCACTACAGAAGGACAACTTAGAACTTTCCATTTATACCTGCTTTTATCAGGCAAGAGATAACTAATCCTTCATAGACATTTTCCCGTATTGTTGGTTTGTTCCAGACCACTAACATTGTCTAATTGCCTTTTTTGTCATGTGAATGTTAAACCATGAGAAACAGTGAACACGCWGACTGGTACTTTAGTGGTTGAAGTGCTTACATCACCAAGCACGCACCGAGCTATCAATCATTTCACTTCACCTTGACACACAAATCTAAAGTAAGCTATCCCATTTTCTAAGCAAAATAACAAATMATTAAAAGAGTTTACTTGTAACATGTCAGGAAAAAAAAGGTTTAAGAGGTTTAACACGTTGTTTTTAAGCAAAGGAAGAGAATGATTTACAGGATCTTACAGCCTCATATAGTTTCTCTGTTTCCTTCAAACACAGGAAAAATACAGGAAAATT